ACTTTAAATTTATTTTTATCACATCTCATTTTTCTGTTTATCTATCTATCTATCTATCATCTACCTACCTACCTATCTATCCATCCATCTATCTGATGTTATCAAATAACCTCTCAACTGTTCCCTCTTGGTGAGGCTAACCAGCCAAAACTACGTTCAGAGTACTAAATGGAGGGATACAGGTTTGTCCCAGCTGGGACAAAGTGGCTACACTACTTTCTCTCACTCTAAGTCAAATACCTTCACCATCTCATCTCAAGCGAAGGGTACAAACCCACTGCATATTTCTTTGTTGCTTACCCTTAAATTCCTTACTATTTGTTGGAAATCAAGTGTCTTTATAAAGGTTTAGCTACAGAAGACTTCACAGTACTATTCATATTTTTAAAATTATCAATTTGAATATCCAGCAAGCAACCAGAAATGGTTTAAACTAATTATTTTTTTCTGCAATAGAACAGCTTTACAAAAAATTTTATGTAGTATTTGACAGAAACTGTTATAATCTCTTGATTTGCATATTGTAAACAGCATGACATCTCTTTCAATAAAAATATATTTTCACAGAAATATCTACATTTTAGCATCAGTTCTCAAAGCGAATCATGAGTTGGTAGCATTGTGAATGTCATTTTCTTTCTTATTATCTGTATTTTCTAATTTTTTTATAAGAAAAATAAATCATTCCTAGAGTTAGGAGTATAAAGTCAGAAGCTTGTTTAAAGGATCCACTAAGCCCACTGCCTTTTTTTCTCTATGTCTTTACTTTCATGGTATTACAGGTTTTTCCATGTTTATCTTTGAATCTACCTTGAGAGACACAAATCTAAACACATCAGGGAAAATAAATGATGCCTTCTTCAACCCTTAATTTGCACATCCAGTGGAAGTCCTTGCTGTGGTGTTTTACTTCTACTCCATCTTCTGCCCTGGGAGGCAAAGCCGTAAATCATATGCACTAACAAAGCAGCACTTGGGGCCACCAGCATCATCTGGATGTGCAGGGAATGTGGAGGGGCCATTGCTAACTTACTCACATGGGGGACCCTGATGATTCTTTCATGACTCTCTTCCTTACGAGACGCAGTCACTTAAGATTCCTGAATGTTCTCAAGAGGTCAACCCCTGCCCCCATAGTCTGTGTTACAAAATTTATCTCCATTTTCACAAAAATAAAGAGCTTCAAAGAAAAAGGAAAAACGAGAAAAAGGGCAAGAAAAAACAGAGAACTCTTTCTTGTACATAGTGAAAATGGTTTACATATTTTCTACATGACTTTTATCCCGCTCGGAGACTAACAAATCCTCTAAGATTTAATGCTGAAAAGGCCTAACCATATCCTACAGTCTAAAAAATAGGGTAGAAGCAAAAAATTTCATGTGAACTGTAGGCATTAGCAAGACTGGATTAGCTGACACAGACAACTAGGTGAGCGTGGGCCCTGACATTATGAGATCTAGGATAAAATACTGACTCTTCCATTACTAGCTGATAACATGGTCAAGGGCAAGACAACATAATTTTTTTGAAACCTTTACTTCTTCTTACATAAAAACAGAGATGATGCTTGTCAAGGATCAACAAATGAAAAGCCTGGAAGTTTTGTAGTCGATTTGATAAATTGCTTATGCGGTTTAGTCTCCTAAGTTCCCTTTCCTATAGTCATGCCAATTGCTGCCATCAAAAGATTCTGACAACTCAGAGGACAGTAGAGCTGTCCACAGGACAATGACTTCCCAAGACCAGTGAATGCACCGAAGGAGAGATTCAGGCATTGGACCATGATAAATTCTGCAGATACATTTTGAATTTAAGGTACCAATGAATGTGGGTGCAAAAGTCTTGGACCCACATGGACTTATGGATCTGGAGCTCAACTGAAGTGCCACAGTGGAAGCCAATTGGATAAGTCGTTGTTCCCAATCCTATCTATTCATCAGAAGCAACTGTGCTTCCAAGATTCCTAGAGTCCCAATTTAATTGTTCCAGGAAAGGGCCTGGGAATCAATCTTTTATTTATTTTCATCTGGCCAATACATTTTGTTCAAATATTTTAAAAAATTCAACAAAAGTTTATTTAAATACTTGAATTCTTTTATGCATTTTTAAAGTAAAGTTCACATAACATAAAACTAATCACTTAAAGTGAAAAATTCAGTGTCATTTGGTACCATCACAATGCTGCACAACCATCTCCTACACCCAGTTCTGCATCATTTCATCATCCTCAAAGGAAAATCCTATACCCATTAAGCAATCGTGGCTCATTCCTGACCCCTGCTCTCTGGCTGTATGAACTTGTCTGTTAGGAATATTTCGTATAAATCAAACCATACAAAATGTGGCCTTTTTGTGTGACTAGTTTCTTTCACTACATAGGCTTTCTAGATTCATCAACACTGTAGTATGTATCATTATTTCCCTTCTTTCTATGAATTAATACTATTCCATTCTATGGATATGCCACATTTTGTTTAGTCATTTATGAAATGATGGAGTTTTGGGTTGTTTCTATCTTTTGCTTTTGTGAGCAATGTTCTTATGAATATGCATGTCCAAACATTATATTTAATATTTGTTTTTAATTCTTTCAAGTATATACCTAGGAATGGAATTGTTGGACATATGGTACCTTATGTTTAATTTTTTGGGAGAAATATTTGTTGAGAAGCTCTCTATATGATTCTTTGTCAAGCTGGTATTGAGAATCACTAATGTATAAGATGAACAAAGCTGTAAGAACAGATAGCATACATGCAAAGAGAAGACATGAAGTGGGAACATGATGAGCTCAAAAGTAAAACCTTGTGGAAACAACATATCAGAAGCTGTCAAAGCCTGTAAAGAACATGGTTCAATAGGGATGTCCACCAGAAGAGAACCCCTCAAGAGAGGAACCATCAGTTGCATATAATAAAAGGAACTGAAAGAGGATACTGCATATGGCAAGAGGAAAGGTCAGGTACATCGGCCTCACTGAGGACCTCATTCCTAGGAAGAACCCAAACCTACATGAAATGCTGAGAAGGGCCGTACTCTAACGTACTCTGTTATTCATTATTTGCATTTACTTGCAAAGACCACATCTTTTCTCTCTATTCTCTCATGATATCTAACAATGTACAATGCAAACATCAAGACCATAATCAAAATCTTGGATTGACCAGTTAACATTTTAAGAAATACTGTGTCAAAATCTCTGCCACCTATAACAGTAAACTGTAGGTGAATACTAACTGGTAACTATTTTTTGACTATATTATGGTCATTCTAGGATTCTAACTACATGGAAAATATATGAGTATAGTAATATATGATTAGGAAAACTATTTGATCTTCATTTCAGCAAAACACTTAATAACCTTTTACACTGTTCCCCTTTTTACTGCCTAAAATACTGCTTTAGTTTAAAGATATTTATCAATTTTTATACAACATTTACTGATCCAAGAATCAGTGTTGATATGAAAATATATAATTACTTCACAGAAAAATTATTTTCCTTAAAGTATTTTTCCTTCTGTTATTAGAGAAAGGGGTAACAGTTACATTTTGAGTGTGAAAAGTGATAAGGCCAAAGCCACATATTAAATTTAGCTTAAATTTAAATACTCAATGAGCAGTAAGTAGATATAAAGTATATGACAGCTTTTCTTCTTTTTTTAAGTACATGTTGATTTTTTTTCATCTTAAGTATGAAATTAGCCAAGAAACATTTCTGAGAGCAGGAAAGTAGTGTACCATCCTAAATTTGTGTTTTCACTTACTGCTTCTATTTTGTAGACACAGTATTTAATTTTAAATTTCCTCTTTTTGTGACAATTGCAGTTTGAACTTCTACTTGCAATGTCCTTAAGCACAGAGACTTGTGTGACACACAAAACACCAAGAAAGCAGCCAAAGCAAGAAGGGGGAAAAGATATTTTTCTTTAGTATTAAACACCTGGAGAGAAAAAAGCAAGTTCCCTTAAAGCCTGAGCATTCTTGGCTTTCTCTTGAGAATACAAATGGATACATTTTAATTCCCCTTTGAAAAACTTTCTGAAGTTTTACTGTGTTTGCTTTGAATTGCAGTTCATGAGACTTTCCTACATTCTTTCTTGTTTCTGGTGCTGCTGTTCACTTCTGTCCACCAATAAGGAGGGAAGCTCCTTGACCAACATGGTGGTTGGTGAGGAGGAGTGACTGCTTACCATGACTGGTGGCCCTGAGATGGAACAATGACAAACTTCATTGCTGAGGAATTCATAAAAACCAAGTTTCCACCCACTCAGAAGCTTCACATCATAGTCACCACTCAGGGAAAAATATGAAGGAAAAAAAAAAAGAATTTTCCCACCACTCTTTCTACCTTGCTATGTGTATGTTCTTGGTCTTTAGTGGCCACTCATCTTTGTAGTAACTAACTGTCTTTATAATTTGGTCTGACTTTCAAATCTGTATCAGAACTGGAGCCAGTAATCAATAGAAACAATAGAATGTAACAATGCCCTAAAAAAAAAAAAGTTCTCAGACTTCATGAAGAACCAATAGATAATACCGCTTGGAACGTAACCCAAAAACTGAGACCCAATCAAAGCTCCTCTTTGATGGAAAAGAAACACCCATGAGCCATCAGGAAAAAAGCATCAGAGACACCAAGTCTTGGAAGCTGAGCTCAGACACCCAGGACACATTACCACATAGGTACCCTGGTACCTTTTCACTTTAGCTTGAGGCTGTTTTCAATCTACTCCCCATTGTGAATACTGCAGGAAGCCCTGCCTCCAATTTCCTTTGTCTCTTAGAAGAGGACAAACAAAATAAAGATGTAAAAGGCACAAAGTGCCTTCTGCAAAATCTGTGAAGCACCAGGCAAAATAAATTGCTATTTTTGTTAAGAAGCTTCTTTTCAAAATACAAAACTTGAAGCCAAGAATTATCATGCATCAATCTCTTTCACAGAAGCATGGGCCACAGTTGTGACAGCACAGACATCCGCACAGCCCGCGCCATCTCACCTGCAGCAAATGACCGCTTTACAGGACAGCGCCAAGTCCAGGAAGCTCCTGCGGACCTCGAAGGACAGCGCGTACTTCAGGGTGTGGCCGTCGATGATGAGAGCCACATCATTTTCCTTGCCCAGCAGATTCCCGAGGTCAGTGCAGTGCTGAGTGATGGCTGCTCTTGTTGCCTGAAACAAGAGCAGAGGGAGAAGCATGGTTTTGCACACTGTATCAAACGGGAATCCGAATCCCATATAGTTGCTTGAAGTGACAACATGCCCATTGTAAGTTAAAATACATAAACAATTAAATTTGGCACACTATGCATTACAAGTCTCTGGAACGCAGCTGCAGCTGTTTATAGGTAAGAACTTCCTCATCCTGAGATTCATTTGACATTTGCAGTGATTGACTCCAGTTGGGGTCCACTGTTGGTTTCCACGGCTGACCTAGTGCATCCAACTCTTCTCCCCTGGAACTTTAACTAAGGATCTAAAAACTGCCTTTCTCCTGTCTTTTCCACCACACACACACACACACACACACACACACTATTTTGCTTCCTTTGGAATAGGAAATATAATGTTGTTTTTGGGAAAATGTAGTGTTACAGATACTTGAATGAAAAGCACTAGCTTGTCTTCAGTTTGCATAGGGTAATTTTTAAAGCATCCAAAGATATCAAGAGATATAAAAATAACACAAAGGGGATTCATTTCTATTCCGAGATCTTCAGATTGAAGCATTCTCTCCATGTATGATCAGGATAAGGAGCTGATCAATTGCACATGTTACAGAAAATATCTAAGCAAACTAAGCTTCCGTACCGAGACACTGCTACCAGCTTAAGCTAGTACCTTGGTGTGGTGTCTGTTGTCATATGGGATTAAACCATAATAACAATCAAGATTAAGATAAAATGAATTGGGTCTTTATATTTGGGTGTTTTGTTTTTTTTGTTTGTTTTTTAGTTCTTTATATATTCTAGATAGTGTAGACCTTTGTCTGAGGAACAGCTGGTAAAAATTTTTCCCACACTGTAGATGGGAAATTTAAAAATGGGCATCTTAAATGAACAGACATTTCTCAGACAAAGAAGTAAAAGCAGCAAATAAAACATATGAAAAAATATTCCACATCTCTGGTCATTTGAGAGATGCAGATGAAAACAACACTGAGATTCCATCTCACCCCAGAAAGATTGGTTGCTATCAAGAAATCAACCAGCCACAAATGCTGGTGGGGTTGTGGGGGAGAAAGGAACCCTTCTCCATTGTTGATGGGAGTGCAGACTGGTGCAACCACTGTGGAAATCAACATTGAGATACCTCAAGCAACTAGGATTAGAAGGCCCATTTGACCTATTTATTTCTCTGCTGGGTATCTTCTCAAAAGAATTAAAATAATTATACTACAGCGATATATGCTTACCTATGTTTATAGCGGCACAGTTTGTAATAGCTAAAACTTGGAAACAGTTCAATTACCCATCAACTGGAAACAGGATAAAGATGATGTGGCTTATATATGTTATATATATAAAATGGAGTCCTACTCAGCCATAAAGAATCAGAAAACTAGAGATATTTATAGCTAAGTGGATGCACACTGAGGCCATACTCTTAAGTGAAATTAATAAGGCACATATGTGTAAATACCGAATAGTTTCTCTGGTGTGAAAAACTAAAAGTGTAAAGGTATAACTGATGTTGTATAATAGGAAGAAAACATCTAAAAGAGTAGGGAAAGAGGGAGGAATAGGGAAAGGTAAAAAGGGAAAAGAAAAAATATGAGAAAAGGAAAAAATGGAAACAAAGTCTTTGTAAACAGGGAAGGGTGGAGTGGGTGAAGGGAGGGCTGGGAATGGGAAAAAATAAGAGCCAAGACCTGTCATGTAAAGGTACAAGATCCCAATGATGAATGTAACTGTACTGTATACCTAAAATGTACCAATAAACTTAATAAAAAAGATAAAACAGTATTTGTATCTTCCCTAGGAATGTTTTACTATAAATAGGATATCTGACTCAAATAAAAGAATGTAATTTTGGCTCATTAAATCTCAGAAAACACAAAAGTCCACTGAAATTACTGTGTAGATGATCATCCTTTGGCTATTAAGTTAAATTTATATGCAGCTTATCAAATGGTTACATGAACTATGGTCTTAAAGCAATGTGTTTAATGAACAGAAATCCTTCTTCCTTTGCTTAAAATGAAGATGAGGTGCTCTTGCAAAGTGAAAAACAGATTCCATCATCTTACTGCTCAGTTTTCTTCCTCAACAAGAAACTTTCAACAAAAATTAGGTACAATTCAGAGGGATGTGGTCTAGAGCCCTGTACTGTGGCCAAACAACCTGAGGTCTAGTCCTAGCTTTGCACTTACTACTCCTATGACCTTGGGCAAGATGCTTAGCCTGTTAAAATAAATTGCAATCTTCTCAACTGTAAATGGGACTAGAAACACTTCATAGCATTTTTGTTATGAACAAATGAACTAATCAGTGTCAAAGGCTTAGGATTGGGCCTGGCACATAATATATGCTCAATAAAATTCATTCTTTTTCTCTCTTACTATTTATACATTAAGAATTTCCTATATTAACTAGATGTGGTGTATGCCTATAATCTCATTCTGAGAGGCTGAGGCAAGAAGATCACAAGTTTGAGCTTAGCCTGGGAAAGAATGATTTAATGAGACCCTGTCTCATAATTTAAAATAAATTAAAAAGGGCAGGAATGTAGCTCAGTGAGAAAGTTGTGGGTATAGTAGCATACTACAAAAAGAAAGGAGGGAAGGAAGGAAGGAAAAAATAATTTCCTATATTGAAGAAAAGATGCATACATTCCACCTCTAAGTAGCAGAATGAATGCCATCATTGATTATGCATCCTTGCAGATGTAATAATAGATGAATAATTAATAGAACAATTAACTATGTGTTCTTACTGTTACTTATGTAGTTATAAATATCAGGCAAACATCCTGAAAACATCTAGGTTTATCTATGAAAACTGCCTGCCTTTTAAAATTTGGAGAAAAGAAATTCTTTTCACTTAGTGTCTGCCTCACTGGAAACTCAGACAGGTCTGGACAACTCTGCTAGGGGTCAATGAGTTGAGAACAGAAAAATCTCCTAAGAAATATGCTATTAAGGGGCGGAACTGGGGATGCGGATTTGGTCCACAGATCACCCTGATGCTGTAGTAGCATTCAGTGTAGGCCATTGCTTTTCACCCAATTATTTCTCTCATGGACATAAGCCTGGATCCAATGGGGGAAAAGTGTCAAAGAGTAGAAGTCCCTGAGATAGAGATCATACCCATGTTTCCTTGTGGTTGTTGTTATATTTTTTAAAGCATGCACATCATGAGTGGAGACCCATAGAGTCATATCAGAAAGATCAGCTCTACTGGAGATAGTTCAGTAGCATGCAGTAGGATAGACTGTATTCTGGGGGGACCTTGAGCATCAGAAATGGGGTTCTGTGGTTTTAATGTGTCCCCGAGTTCCTGTGTTGGAAACATCATCCCCAAAATAACATCACTGAGAGGTGGGGCCTAGAAAACCAAGGCTTTGTCCTCATGGGTGGCTGATACCATTATCCCTGGAGTAGGTATGTGATAAAGCCATTTCCTGCTTGGTGAACTGGCTCTCTCTTCCCCCACCCTGCCCTTCTTAAGGGGATGACACTTCCCAGATGCATTCCTCTCATCTTGGACATCTCAGCTTCCAGAACTGTGAGCCAAATGAACTCCTATTGTTTATAAATTACCTAGTTTGTAGTATGGTATAATAGTAGCACAAAACCAATGAAGATGTAAAGACTGAGAAAGCTTCCTGAGATGTACAAAATTCCCTCCTCCACAAATGTAGGGAGAAACCAAAAAGGCAGCTGGATTTTAACCAGGGCCATGGGGATGGGCACAGGAACATTTGTGGCTACTTTTCCTGAGAGCCTCCTGCTATCTCATCGCCTGTCACAGCCTAGAAAACACAGGTCATACTAAGTTGTTTTTTCAAGGTGAGCCTAAAAATGTGCTACACGAGCCCCCCCCCCCATGTTGAAACCCTAACCCCTGATGTGCTGGCATTAGAATGTGTGGTTTTGGGGAGTTATTTGGGTTATGAAGGTGGAAGGATGGGATTTGTGTCCTCCTGATGGGATTTGTGTCCTTACTGAGAAACAGAAAAGTGTCCTCTTTCCTTTCCTGCTTCTCTCTTTCCACCACCATGTGAGGACACAGCAAGAAGATGGCCATCTGCCAAAGAATGACCTCACCTTGATCTTGATGTGTCAACCCTCAAAACTATGGAGAATACATTTCTGTTGTTAAAGCCACAGAGTCACTGTTATTTTGCTGCAACAGCTGGAGCAAAGTCAAAAGGCAACCACTTGAGTCCCTGGCAATGCAGCACTATTGCTGTTATCACAGACACTTAGACCAAAGGACATGGTCTGGGTCTACAGCAACAGAAGACACAAAGTCAGGGTGAAAGCAAAGCTTTCTATCATGGTCAGTGTCTGGGATAAGCTTTTAACATGATGTTGCAGATGCACACAGAGCATAGAATGGACATGTGAGAGAAAAGTTTCTTAATCTGGTTTTGCTACTAGCACAGAATCCCTGAATCTGGGACATTTATAATGTACAGAAATTTGTTGGCATGATCCTGGAGGCTAGGAATTCCAAGATTAAGAGGCTACCATCTGATGAGGGCCTTCCTGCTGTGTCATCCAACAGTAGAAGGGAAAAGGGAGGGAAAGAGATCAAACCTGAAGCTTCAAGTTCTTTGGTAATTGGCACTAATCCATTCATGTGGTGCGATCCTTGTGATCTAATGACCTCTCATTAGGCCCCACTATCAGCATTAGGGATTAAGACTCCAACAAAAGCTTTAGGGAGCACACTCAGACCACAGCAGTCCATTCAAGCACTGATGCACAGTGGCAGAAGGCAGGACAAGGCCTTTGAGGGGTGGATGCATGTGGGAGTGAGTGGTACCCTGGGCATTTGAACTGCAATCTGTATGTATATAGTGGCCACCTGCTCCCCTTGCAATGAGAGAGCCAAACATTATTGAATTACACTATAACAATAAAAAAATTCACATTTATATTCCGTTGACCAGGGGTTTTCTTACAGTATGGAACATTAATAATTTTCTTAAGCAAAAAAATTAAG